AGGAAGGAAGGAGAGTTTATCCTCTTCCCTTTTCTCTCTCTCCCTCTCCAGCAGAACAACTCAACTGCCTAAGCAGGTGACCAAATAGAATGCCAATCTCCCTTCTTAAGAGCAACCCTCCTCTCTGGGAGAAGCCTCAGAACTTTACCACCACTTCACTTCAGAATGGGGTGAGGATGTGCTGCTCCCCTCAAGGATATTTCAGGACTCTGACGGTCTTCCATCCTTTCCCAGTTGTCTGCTCATTTGGATTTGGGCAAGGGAGGGGGTAGGTGGGGTGGGATTAGAGGGTGGAACTGATTATGTTAGGGTCAATTTTACTCTGGATTGGAGTTGGGGTTTTTGTCTGGCCCCTGATATTGGGCACTCTCTTTAGAGTGTGGTATGCTTAACCACTGCTGTTTCTATCTCTAGACCTTAGTGCCAAAATTATGGCTACAGGAAAAAAAAGTTGTTATATTAAATAGAAAGAAACCAAACTGTTTTAAGTAAGGATATTATGTATGGTGGGTGAGGAAGGGTAGATGTTCCTTGGCCCTTGAGCTTACACCCTGAGGCCAAAGAATGTTAAGAGGAAGTGCAAAAGCTTTCAGGCCTCAGGAGCAAATGCAAAAAAAGAGAGATGGGACTTAAGAATATACTCAGCTAATCAGTGGGTAAATACTCAATGACTGATCCAGAAGTAGGCAGGTGACACAGAAGCAGCCAATGTAATGCCTGACTCATGACTGGTGAGGTAACAGGGCATGCAAAATGCTATTGTAAAAGGGAATTTGAAGAATAAAATCTGGAGAAAAAATTCAAGAATTTGGTATTGGGAGAAAGTCAAGACACATAGGAAAACCAAGTGAATACATGATCAATATTAATACCTACATGGTCTTGATGCTAAATTAGGCAACCACTAGAGTTTTGGATTTTTAATTATATTTCTCCCAGGGCTCTCATGAAATTTCTAGGTCCCTTATAGTCATGTGTTTCTTTGCAATAAAGCCCCTTGATTTCAGTTTACTTCCATGAGTCTGTTTCTTGCAATCACATAGCCTAACACTAGTAAAGCCAATAACAAGTAATGAGAAGAGCCTGGTGAGTTCTGATGAAAAAAGAACAAGACCAAAGACAATTGATCTCTGTCCTCAAGTTCATTTCAGTAGTGTTAAAATCCCTATATGCTTTGTCACCATGTAGGGGTCAAGGCTATTTCTGCAATTGCCGTTTTTTAACTCATGTATGTAAGCAGAGACTTGGGATAAGATAATCATCTCAGAATGATTTGCAGATGTCCCCATTGACATGCTAATATCTATTTACACTCTTGGGGTGGGCTGGGGGTGTGTGTGTGTGTGTAAAATGATTATTTCAAAGTTTCGTTTAATTTTTAATCTTAGTTCATTTAGACCTGTGGCTAATTTCCCCCCACATTTTACACCTAACCAGCTCCAGGGTGGAAAAGCTGTCACAAGCCTTCATCTATAACACCAGGACCCAGCAATTCCACATCTAGGAACTACTCAAGAAAAACGCTCACATGTTTAAGCAGAGATGTAGGAAAATGCATTGTTATTACAATAAAAATGGAAAATCTTCTTAACCAGCACTTCTTTAATTTACTTGAACAAGATACTTGTCCACAGAACACCTAGCAATAATCTTGAAAGACACTATTTGGGAAAAGGCCTTGGGCGACACTATTTGAGAAATGCAAAGTACTTTTCACCTTCAGCAACACCTTTCCCCCCTCCCCCCTCCCCCCAGGGTTTTTTGTTTTGTTTTTCCTTGTTTTTGCTCCAACTTTTGGATTCATTGGGTGCTCACCCAAAAATTAAATAAAAACTGTTAGCAAATTCCCAAATGTACTTACACTCCTCTTTCAAAAACAGACTTCTGGACCTACTCTGCCAAGTGAGGAACAAAGTATAATGTGTTCGGAGACTACAATCCCACAGGATCCCAGGAACTTCAGATAAATTATTCAAAGTCTCTGGGGATTGGCAAACAAGAGAGATAAAAGGCCCACATTGAGAGTGTGGGAAAGGGGAAGGAAAAAGCAGAGGCTGAGACCGAAGGTCAGGCATTCCAGAAGAGACTGTTTTCACAGGTTTTAGGTGTTTGGAGCTGGGGAAGTTAGGACAAGCACTGGTAAGAAAGTGACAATTAACCACACATACAAGGGGAGCTAATTGATCGTTAAACAGGGCCTGGCAGCTCAGCTCTTCTAAAAGCAGTTACAGGCACCATACACTTTAGCCAATCATCACACTACACTGCTGGGCATTCACTGCCCAGAGAGCCAACTAAAGATAAAGTGTTTTCGTTTGCCTACTGCCTTTCAACTGCCTGTTGTGTCAGGAAATTGCACATTTATTATATGTTTAAGAACTAGTCCAAAGAATTACATATTTGTGGGGAAAAAAATCTAAGGAACCAACAGCCTAAGTAAATGATGATACTTCATTTGTTTCTTAAGTACCACCCTTAAAAGGTAAAAAAAAACCACCACACACACAAAAAACAAAAAACCCAACCCGCAAATGGAATATCATTTGAATGTCTTTTGTGTGATGCAAAGCAAGTTTGTGTACTGGTGCACAAATGAGTTGCAACTTTGTCTTTAAACAAAACGTCTGCAGGGTAAAAGAAGGCCCTACATGCAGCTTCTTGCCCTGACTTGACTGAGGCCTGGCCTGTTTGGCAGCACTCCATACACCAATTGCCCTGAACTGAAACTGTCAGAAGAAAATAAAATGGGCTAAATTTATCATCACCTGTACCCACTGACACATACACACGGAGGTGCCTTGCTAACTAAGACACAAACCAAAACGCAGCAGCCTGGCCAAACAGCCTCCTGGGAAATGCCGTTTGGCGATGTGAGCCTTTTTTTCTTCTTCTTTTTAGCATTGAGAAGGAAAACAACACATGCAGGAAACCATAAAACCCTTCAAGTTAACTGTAGCTAACGGTCACTCTCATTAGGATGTAATGGGTCGGTTGTAGCCCTCCCAATAAAGGTTGAATGTGCTCCTCTGAATCATTTCCAGTTTTCTCACGTGCTGGGATGTCTCTTGAACAACAAGCAGAAGTTCTACTCACTTCCAAAGCTGGTGCCTGACTTCATCTTTTATGTTAGAATACATTTGTTGAACTGGAAGATATACATATAGGTATATATGTACATTTCAACCAAGTTAACCACTTATACATAAGGGCATCCTTGGGAAATGGATAGGAAGTGGGGGGGCCGAGGGAAGTGAGGACTGGCAATCCTGGCCTATGGGCCTAAGGCTTTGGTTAAATCAGTATCTCTATTTGGGGAGTGAAGACATCTATTTCTGCAAATCCCTACTAGGGCTCAAGAGAATGGTTTCCAGTGCATTTTTCTCTCACTTCTGACCTTGTGACCTCAGATCAGTTACAGAACTGGGCAGGGTCAGTGGGCAGTGATTCTCCCCCTTCAGTGAGCACTGGAAATACATGGGGAAGGGGCTTCTTAGGGCCTCACCCCCAGAGTCTGTGATAATCTTCATAAACTTTGCTGCTAAAAAAAATCTCTAGGTAATTGATGCAAGAGTTCATGTTCCAGACTGGGAGACACAGATTCTAGGGACTTATTGTTCAGAACTAAGTAGCTTTTATGTTGCTTCCACTGTGCGAGGCTTGTACACTAAATTCCCCTTTGCTTCCACTGTGCGAGGCTTTTTGCAACAATCCATGAGGTAAGGAACCAGTATTTCATGGGCCCATACAGTAGGCCAGGCAGTAGGCCAGGTATTCTCCATGTGTAATTTCACTCGAGTCTCACAATAGCTTTCCATGTTAGGAAGCATTATTTCCATTTAACATTTTAGAACACTGAGGCTTAAAGAGGCTAAGAAATTTTACCAACATCCTTCACAGCTAGTTGGTCTAAGAGACACTTTCCAACTAGAAAAGATAATACCACAGCTAAGATAACACCGGCAGCATAATATGCAAAAGTATGTTTGAAAGCTCTTTGAAACAATAAAGTCAACAAATAAGAATTAAACATTCATTATATGCAAGGCAACAGGGAAGGCAAATTTGGGGAAATAAGAGTATTTAAGGCCTAGTTCCTGTCCTCTAAGAATTCCAGTCTCATGAGAGAGACCACTTTGGCTATATTAGAATTTGGAGAACTGGGAAGATGGACTAAAATTATTGTGTGCAGGGCTTTAAATGGCAGGCAGCATGTGAATTTTGTGCAAAGGGGAATCTAGTAGATTTTTAGCAGAGTCTGACTCCACCCATATGCCTGGAGATGCTTCTCTCCCCAAGAAACCCTCCACTTTAGCTTTCAAATGATAGCCAGAGCAGAGATACAGAAATGCATATGGAGATAATTTTTCAGAATGAATTAAAAGGGTATGGGTCAACAAACATTAACATGGGTTAGGAAGGTATTGTGTAGGCCTTAAAGGAGAAAAAAAGGGCCTTATGTTAATTCCACTAGAGAAAAACCATCCAAATGGATAAAATAGATTTGAATTCCTAGCAGATTCTTAGGTAATTTTTTTTTTTTTAATCTAGATCTTTCCAAATGCCTCCTTGGGAGCCTTAAATTATTTTAAATTTATGATTAAACATTCTGACCCATAGCATTACCCAAACTGTGTTTTCTAATTCATGAGCACTCTATAAACACAGGAAATACAGTACTCACAAATGTTGATGTCTACTTCCTAATCCCTTGCTTTCTCTCGTTTTCTCCAGAATCCTTTAATGCCTCTAGTACCCCACCCCCACAGTGAGCACAAATCAAGGAAGCCCTCCACATCCGCTTACATGCTCTTTATTTTTTGCTTGGCACTTATAGGTATTCAATTAGGAATCGACAAACCTTGCGTAAGCAACTCTGATGGTGCACAGGGCCAGAAGCAACGTCCTTAAAGAAAAATGGGTTGATATTCTTAAAAGAGAATCTGAAATTTGTTCTTTTCTATTGATCCAAATTATCTGAAAGAAAAAGTCATACTAAACTGTTTGGTTTCTCAGGTTTATTATGCCTTGTACCACCTAACACGTGAGTATCTCTTATGAATGAAAATTGATTCAGAGGAAGAAAAGTACAAAAATGTTTCTTACATTTACTCTGTCACCTCCTAGGACAGACACGCACATTTAAGCTTTTATTTTTAAAGCAACATTATCAAAATCATTAAAGAAAATATTTAAAGCATCCACCCTTACATGGAAAGTCAATGGGAAAATAAACATAGTTCTAGCAAGAGAACCTTACAAAATAAAATATACTTCATATAGGCTTATTTATGTCAAGGTTTTGATACCTAGATCTGAAAAAACAATCATACTATCAGTACAATGAACAAAAATAAATTGAAGCACTTTATAGAAGAGTTCTTTCTCCTTTTGCAAAGATCTTTGAAGAGACTTAAGACACCATGTTGTTTTAAGGTCTTTGAAAAACAACAAGATACTACAATTGCAAAACACAAATACAATTAAAACGAAATATATTAGCAAGTACGCAAAAGAAAAATTTGGAAATTAGTAGCTATAATGATCTTTAAAAGGTGAAATTATATTGAAACACGGCAATTCTATTATTTTGGAGGGGGAAATTGCTTTTCATTGACCCCAAAAAGTTGTTTGTTTTGGACCACAGGCTCCAAAAATGTCTTCTAGCTGGGCAATCCAGGATAGACACTCCCTTACCTATAAGCAATCCTGGATGACTAAAGGGTTATTTCCAAAGACACCTTTTAACCCCTCCTCTCCAGTGCTGAAAAATTATAAGAAATATAAAGCACACATTTTTAATTAACAAACATTTGGAAAATGAAGAGGGGTTTTGTGAATGGCAATTGTTAACCCTCAAAATAAATAATAGTGTTACTTAGTTAAGTTGCAGATTCCAAACCAAATACTAATGAGCCTCAGGACATCCAAGGCATGCATGTCTCAATAATACTGGTGGGCCTGATGCTTATAAAAAGTGTAAGTCTCCACTAGCTCAGTGTGTGCTATTCACAAATTCAGAGGGGGAGAGCTCGCCTCCTTGCCCTCAGGGAGCCAGCTTCTCCCAGGTCGTCCTTATGGCTGCATTTCACTTACATTAACAACCATGTTGGGCTTGACACAAAAATGGAGATTTTAGCACCACATGAACCTTCCTGCTTTTGAGGGGGAAAAAATCATTCAACTTTCACATTTCTTAATTGGTAATGGCTTTCTCCTCCACAATATATTAATAATTTAACAGGCTTGTTTGTTCTTAATCTGAGGAAAATAATTCTAGCCCTGCTAGGTGGTGACCATGGGCAAGTCAAGGAGAAAAGCAGCTTTAGGAACATAAAAGTTAAGAAAAGATCAGCCAGCCAGTTTTGTCTTTAAAGAATTCGGTCCACGTTGCCCCTCCCCCCTTTTAAAATTTCAAGACAAAGGGCGATTTAAAAAATGTGGCAAACTCAGAAAATTCCTAGAAAGCGTGTAGAGTTGACACATATTCAGCCGATGCCATCATTTCAGGGTCAAGGCCTGCCACATTTGGCCCAGAGGAACTAAATATTTATTCCTCAATAAGATGGCATTTAACAGTCTCCTTTCGGAGAGGCTCACTGGTTTCAATGCTAAGGCAGATGGTGAAGTTTCCACACACTGTAGGGCGCTCCTAATCTTAGGCTTCAGGCATAATAATGACAAAAGTCAAGATTTAGGGTTCAGTTCCAGCTGATTTTATTTCCTTCTCAAAAAAAGTTATTTACAGAAGGTATATATCAACAATCTGACAGGCAGTGAACTTGACATGATTAGCTGGCATGATTTTTTTCTTTCCCCCCAAACATTGTTTTTGTGGCCTTAAAATTTTAAGACAAATATTCTACACGGCATATTGCACAGGATGGATGGCAAAAAAAAAAAAAAAAGGTTAAAAACAAAAACCCTTAACGGAACTGCCTTAAAAGGCAGACGTCCTAGTGCCTGTCATGTTATATTAAACATACATACACACAATCTTTTTGCTTATTATAATACAGACTTAAATGTACAAAGATGTTTTCCACTTTTTTCAATCTTTAAACACAACAGCTATAAACCTGAACACATATGCTATCATCATGCCATAAGACTAAAACAATTATATTTAGCGACAAGTAGAAAGGATTAAATAGTCAAATACAAGAATGAAAAACGCAGTACATAGTGTCGCGAACTCAAATCGGCATTTAGATAGATCCAGTGGTTTAAACGGCACGTTTTTGCTTATAAAAAAAGTGCAAAAAAGATGTGGTTTACAAATTAAAGCTACAGGATCCCTTTTTGCTGTAAATGCACCAGTTTTAAAGCCTTTGCACAGAACAGTATTCTGTTTAAAAAATGTGTTTTTCTTAAAAGCATACAGTGTTTGGCTAATTCTCCTCCCCTTTTCATAAGACTGGGGTGGAGGGGTGAATACTGGTGGCAGGTTAAGGGATACTGTCACTTTAAGAAGCCTGCAGATTGAAGTGTAAACATGGAGAAATTAGGGGCTGATTTTTTTAAAACTGTGAGATATTAACCAGCCGCCCTATTATAAAATCAGGAAATCCAAACAGCGATTTACACCGATTAACACCCCCTTTATATATTTTTTACAAAAATACACTGAGAAAATAATCAAACGTTTTCATCTCTCTTGTCTTTTTTTGTTTTTTAAAAGTGTCAAAAGTCTACATTTAAATATAAAAAATTAAAAGTTAAAACTCTAGCCCTTCAGTGAAGGAGACGTAAAATGGCGTGGGTAACAACAACTACAAAAAAGAAAAAAAGGAAAAAAAGAAAGAACGAAAGAAAAAAAATAGAAAAAGGAAGGAATAAGTAAAATAAGAAAGAAAAAAAAGGGACAAAAATAAGAAAAAAAATGTTTGGCCAGTATAAATACGTCCACATATAAAATGGCATCTGATTACATTTACAAGAAAAAGAAATACGAGGATGGAGCATCGGTGAGGGGAAAAAAAAACACGTCTTCTCATTTACACCTAGAAGGAATAAACACATACACACTGAGAAAAAATTTGGTCCTGAATTGTTTTTTTTAAAAGTCCAGCACAGATTTGAGTTGCGTTTGAATCCTTTAAACAGTTAAGAATGAAAAAAAGCTGGTGATAATTTTGTTGTAGGAATCAAACAGAGCGCCATCTATCTGCTTTTTATATTATCCTACACTATTTCAAAAACTGCTCAACAGTCTCATACAGAAATCTTTAAAAGATAGACAGGAGAACATGCTATAGTAACCCCACCAGTGAAATAATCCAACACCATCACGATTCCAATTAAGAGAAGAAAAAAACCTTTTTCCCCCCCCGAAACCACTCGCCCTCCACTGCCCGGGACCGCAGCCAACAGTCGCCTCTCCTCCCGCGGGCGCGGGAGGTCCCCTCGCTGGTTTCATCCACGTGGAAGGCGGGGGGCCCCGGAGCCGCCGCCGCCTTCTCCCCAACGTGCAAATCCGTCTCAGTTTGTTACGCGCCCCTTTCCAGTTCTTGTCCTGGTCGCCCCCGCCCCTGCTTCTTCCAACCAGGTTCTCGGGTCATTTCCGAGCGCCGGTCACTCCCATCTCCTCCGGCTGCAGGAGCAAGGGGGGCAAAAAAAAAAAAAAGAAAAAAAAAAAAAAGAGGAAAAAAGACGGGCATTGGCCAGCATGGAGTCTCAGTCCTGGCTCTGGAGCCAGCGCGGCCCCCAAACATCTGCCATCGGTCAAACTCGCCTCCCCGCGCCTTGTCTTCTTCAGGAAAAGTGGGGGTTGGGGGGGGGGCGCGGAGTGCTAAGGACAAAGTCCCCAGAGGCGCGCTGGATATTTTTATTCCCCCCTCCCCCCCACTCCTCTCTTGATCAAGAAACAAAACGACAAAAAATAAAATCACTAACGGGGCGAAGAGAGAGGGGCGAGATTCCTCCAGTCTCCAGACAATTCCCAACTCGGCTTCTCAGAGGCGCAGACGAGTCCGGAAGCCCGGGGGGGGGATGGGATGGGGGTGTCTCTTCACGCAAAGGGGAGGACATTCAAAGGAGCTTTTTTTTTTTGCCATCACAACAACATCAACAACAACAATAAAAGGTGGCCCGTCTCCCTCGGCTCCACCGCGTCCCCGGAGGGGTGGGGGATGGGAGCGTGGGTCCCCAATCGCCGTGCGCGCTCCTCTTCGGCGACCCCGAGGCGGGCAAACCGGCCGCGCTCATCACTTCTAATTCTTCTTCTTTTTTTTTTCTTTTTTTTCCTTTTTCTGGTTTCCCTCCACTTTTCTTCTTTCTACTCTCCCTGTCCACCTTTTCTCCCTCGGTCACCCCGGCCCACCTCTCCAGCGCGCGCCGTTAGTAGGTGAAGACCAGGTTGGAGATGCTGGACTCGAGCCAGTCCCCCGAGATCATCTCGCTGACCTCGGGCGTGCAGTAGTCCGGGAACTCGAAGTGCGATCCCGAGCCCGGCTCCAGGGTGAAGTCCAGGTCCCGGTCCAGCGCCGACGACGAGCTGAAACTGCCCAGGGACATGCTCTCAAAGTTTGAGCTGGGGTTCAGGTCGAGCAGGTCGTCCTCGAACTCGTCGTCGGAGGCCGAGGAGCCCGCGGAGGAGGCCGACGAGGAGTGGGACGAAGCCGACGAGGACGCGTGCGAGGGCGCGCTGGACGGCGCGGGCGAGGCGGCGCGCAGGCTGGCGTAGCCGCGGTGATCGGCGGGCGAGCGGCCGGCGGCGGGCGACGAGGCGGCGCTGCTGCGGCCGCTGAGGCTCGGGCCGTCGGGCGGGCAGCCCGGGCCCCCCTCCTCGTACAGGCCCAGGGGGTCGCTGGGATCGGCGGCCGCGCCCACGCCCGCGGGCGACGCCGCCGCCGCGCTCAGACCGCCGAACAGGTAGACCCGCTTCACCTTCTTCTCGGCCGGGGGCTTGCCCGCGGCGGCGAGCGAGGCGGGGGCCGAGGCCGCCGCAGAGGCCGCGGCGCCGGGAGTCCGCGCCTTGTACAGCGAGTGGTGGTCGGCGGCCGCGGCGCCCAGGGGCAGCAGGGCGGCAGCCCCCGCCTGCTCCGCGGCGAAGGAGGAGGCGGCCGCCGCTTTCCCGCCGCCGCCGCCCGTCAGGATGAGCTTGGCGTGCGGCTTGCTGCCCCCGCCGCCCGCCACCTTGGAGCCACAGCTCTTTTTCTGCGCCGGTTTGGAGTTGGCGCCGCCGCCGCTCGCGCCGCCGCCTCCGCCCCCCGCGCTGCTGCTGCTCCCGCCGCCGCCCCCGTGGCCGCCCCCGCCGCTGCCACCGACCTTATCGCCCTTCTCCCCCGGCTTGGAGGCGGCGGCGGCCGAGGAGCTGGCGTTGGCGTTGCCGGACTTCACCTTCTTCCTGGGCCGGTACTTGTAGTCGGGGTAGTCAGCCATGTGCTTGAGGCGCAGCCGCTCCGCCTCCCGAATGAAAGGAATCTTGTCGGTGTCTTTGAGCAGCTTCCAGCGTTTGCCCAGCCGCTTGGAGATCTCGGCGTTGTGCATGTCGGGCGACTGTTCCATGATCTTGCGCCTCTCGATCTGCGACCACACCATGAAGGCGTTCATGGGCCGCTTGATGTGCCCGCTGGGCGTCTTGCACCAGCTCGGGTCGTCGGCCTTGCCGCCCGTGGAAGCGGTGGAGCCGGGCGTGGGGGACGAGGCGATGCCCAGCTCGAGGCCGGCGCCCGAGTCCGAGCTCTCGCCGGCCAGCAGCGCTTCCGTGTTCTCGGCGTTGTTCGTCTGCTGCACCATGGCCCCGGCTCGGCGAGCGCCCACGCGCGCTCACAGCCTCGCGGCGGCGGCAGCACGATCGCCGGGCCCTCCCGGCCGAGCGCACGCCGAGCGGGAGGACGCTCGCGGCGGCCGAGCGGGCCCCTCCACTCCCGGTCGGGGCGGAAGGTGGGCGAGAGGAAAGTCTCCCAAAGCGGAGGGGAAGGAGTCCTGCGCCTCGTGCAGAGGAGTTATAGTTCCCAGGCTGGTGAGTCTCTCCCTCCCTCTTTCTCTCTCTCACCGCGCCGCAGTTTGCTCTGTCTCTTGGCTCCGAGTCTGGAGACCGTGCTAAAGTGGAGCGGAGTTTCTTGAAGGCTGGTTGCTGAAGCTTCCAAGGCAAGTTTCTCGCCGCCTCCCAGGCAAGTCTTTTTTTTTTTTTTCCTCTTCCCCTGAAGCAGTTGATTCCAGTTCACTAGCGCTCTCGGGAGCTCAGGAAAGCGACATCGTCTGTATCACTTAGTGCCTTTCTTACAATGCAAAGCAAAAGAGACTGGCTCCAGGACTCTGTGGGCGGAATCGGCACTAAGGAGTTTGTGTAATTATTTTGTTGCAAGGTAGGAAGCCAAAAAGCCTTCATGCAACAGACTGGCATGAATAAATGTATGTTTTCCCCTCCCTTCTGCAAGAAGGGAGCTGGTAATGGTAGAGTTCCTCCAGTGCAGACTCTTAAAGAGCGTGCAAGAACTAGAGACCCTGGAGCGAATCCGGCCTCTTCCCCTCACACACTGTTTCTCTTGCTGCAGCTTAGAGCAGACCCCAATTCCGCCTCGCGCCTCTTTATCCTTTCACAGTCTTGGCCCGGGCCAATCAGCTGCTGTAACCAACGCTTCCTCGTGCCAAGCCCCTCCCCCGGGCTTCCCATTGGCTTGGAACCCGATGCAATAATAATCTCCGCGTGCAATGAGAAGCTCCAAATCTGACCTCATTCCAATTTACAGAGCAAACTTTTTAAAAGGGCTAGAGAAGTACAGCTGAGATTTCTGCTGCCTCTTTTTTCCTTTTGCTGTGTGTGTGTGTGTGTGTGTGTGTGTGTGTTCGCGCGCGCGCGCATGTGTGCGGGCGTGAGTGTGTGTGTGTGTGTGAAGAGGATGTTAATGCATGAAATTATTAAAGGGAGAGAGGAAATGTATTCTAACCATTATGTTAGATAACAAGGGGCTTGGAGTGGGGTGGGGGTAAGGGTGAAATACTGTAAATGGAAGCTTTCTGCTTAAAAGCCAAGTGATTATTTTTATTAGTTCTTTTCACGATTGGAATAAAGAATCAGTCTCTAGTGCAAAATCTGTTCCTAGGCCCCTTCATAAAGCCAGCGATGTAAAAGGGGGAGGGAAAGCTACAACAGTAAATCAATGGATATTGAAAACCATTAAGAAAGTGGTACCTAGACACCTGTCATCACAATTATTTTAACTCTAGGTACAGCACAGATGTTGATGTATTGTGTAAGTCCCTTCAGAGTAATTTTTTGTGCTGTTTGTGGATGGCAAAAAAAGAGGAATTTCTGCAGTAATTACTTGCTCTCTTAACCAAACGGGTTATTTAATGATTTAAACACCTATAGATCCTAGATAGCCCAAACAGAGGAGCTTTCCATTGGAACACACTAGGCAGTGTGCTATAATTAGTTCAATGGGAGACATTCCATAGGTTTATAGGATGATAATGGCGAGTAAAGGATGGGAATCTATTGTATTTTCTAAATACTTGTTTTCCTCATTTTCAAAATTAAACAATACATCACTCTCTGCCCTCTCCCCCAAACCCTCCTGCATATATTTTTCCTGTATATTCCTCCTATATATTTGTTACTTGAATCAAATGGGACTGAAAGGCCAGGGCAAAGAGAAACTGTAGAAGAAGGTGGTAACTGGCAGTGGAAGAGAATAGAGCCTCTGGGTTTGTATCAGACCTGGCTGTTGGTCTTTCTTACTGATTTTGTAACCCTGGGGATGTGGCCAAGTCTGTTTTCTGATACTGGAACACTAGGAGCTACGTTATATAGGGTTGGTGTGAGGGTTCAATGAGTTTGATGTATAGTAAGCCCTCAGTGAATGCTATTAGCCTTCCCTTGATAATTCAAATGCTTGAGATACTCCTCCACATAGAAGCAGCCTATTGTTCAAGAGACTAAAAGATGGCCACTGATGTGAAAAAATAATCACAGATCATGGATGTGAACCATCCAAGGACAATAGTGGCAATCCTATGGTCTCAATGATTTTAAAAGAAAGGGACTTTGTGAAAGCACTGTGGCAAAGAAAAGGTGCTAACTTAGTCAGAACACATGTTAATGTGGCCACAAAAATTACCTTTGTTCCAAAGTGTGAAAATTAGAATTCTAGTAAAAATTGGTCCTCCCTAACACCATAATAGTAAACTGTTTTTCTACAGGCCAATGATGGGTGGTTTGGGGAGGGCCAACTCAACATAATTAAGTCAGCTTTCGATTCAGACCAAACTAGTGCTAGGCAGCAAATTTCTATTTATCTTGTCAAATTTTTAAAGTATGTAGGCTGGCGAGAGGCCCAGATTGTCAGATTTAGAATTTTACTGGAAAGAACACCCTTTGGAGACATGTGAGTGGATCGCTAAGGATCAACCACAAGTAAGAATGTTTTTGTGGGTAAAAGCAAACAATTTTTGACTATTAGTTACCCATGTTATATGCTTTTTCTTTTAAAAGGAGAAACAGATCTTAAAAAAAATAAATACCCATAGACACTCTTTTTGCATATAACAAAGTTGGTGTATTATCATGCACTTAAATTTCTTTGGTATGCACACCAGAATACACCCGTAAATATTATCAATCTGACATTAAAGTTGCTCTAAGAACACTGCTTTTTTGTAAAATCTATACTGTTACTAAAATAAAAAAGAATAAATACTTTATTTTGGAGTTTGTACCAACAAACAATTTGAGAGTAGCTCTTTTGTGAAAATTCAGTCAAGGTGAGTATCAATATAATGGTTTATATTTCTAAAACCATTTATGCTCCTACCACTGAATATGAAAAGTAGAAATTAATCAAAGCAGTCATAGTAATTTTGTTTATGTTTAAAGCACAAAAATTTTTTTAAAAGTATGTACCCCCCCCCCCCCCCGAAAAGAAAAAAGCCCCTGGCCTATTTCTGTTGTTCAATGTATTGCAACAAATCCAACAAATGTTTAAAAACACCACTGTTACATGCCACCAAGGAAGAAAAACTGCCAATGAAACTGTGACATCCCCCAGTCTAGGACATAGACCTATTTCAGAGATGTTGAGTATGAAAATGTTCTTAGAATGGAACTTTTGTTAGTATTTTATTTAATATTCTAATTAGTATTAGTCATTTCCAATGACTTTGTAAGATTATTATAGTATATATGAATGCTTAGACTTCTGAAGTAGGTTTGTTCTTATGTCAGTAATTTTCTTAAAATGTTTGAAAACATGTGATAAACAACCTTTTATTAAAGTCAGCCTTTCTGGCCAACTGAGTGAGTATGTGCACACTGCAGTGTGTTAGGCCTCTGACAAATAAATAATGAGAAAAGATTGCTGTGTTCTCATTACTTAATTACACGTGCTTTATAACCAGTTCTCCATTACTGACATTTTCCCCCAAATACAGATATTTGGTGGCCCCTACTAAATCAGTACTCAGTGTTCCCTCTGCTGGCTTTGCAGTACATGAAGTAATTCTTGATAATGCTGCTCTTTAAGTCATATTAACAGTAAACCAAGATAATTTTGCAAAATAATTTTTTTTCTGTTTTAGGATAATAGACTATCTTTGTTAGCAATGATGTTAGACATTTAAAATTTTGAATTAAGGGAAATATTTTATCTTATTTATTTTCCATTAAGTAATGGAATTCTATGTGAGATGTAGTGTGATATCTGCTAATTCATTTCTTCTGCTCTCACACACCTGCACAACATAAAATCTCACAACATCCATAAAATAGTATGGGGTATAGATGGAAATAAGATTCTATCCCATTCTATCTCACTGCTTAATATATTCCTATAGTATAGAGGGGGTGGGGTGGGACCTGAGGGAAATTAGTTTAACAATTCTGGATGTGCACTGGTTTTCACGATTTGCCTTGCCTTGGTTATGGAAACTATGATTGTAAGAGCTGAGCTAACCTGACATGTATTCAGGTAAAATATAAATAAAGGGGTTAAACAATAAATATGGGGGGGGGGGACCATGTCTTTGTTACTTTAGCAGACAGGGAAGAAACCCTGGGAAATTTGATGTCATTGACCTTTGTCAACTGAAAGGCCCCCAGGCTTTTCAGTTTTCTGGAACTGAAAAGCATAACTTACACTTGTAGACAAACATAACTTACACTTCATCCTTTTGGGTTGGTGAAGTTGTACTGGACTTCCTTTTGGTGGGTTGCATTGAAAATGAGTAGTCAAAATAAGATGGAAGTATTTATTACTTGCAAAATATCAAAATAAGATTCTGGAGTAAAATAAAACCCATGATATATTTTACTCTTAGAATAAACTAAGAGATAAGAACCCTGCATTTCTACTAATTTTTACCATTTTCTCTCTCCTCCTAACCAGCCACTAGCATCTGATGGGCTTAAATCGCACTTCATACCAATGCCAACTCATTTTCCTTTCCTCTCAATTTTCTAATGAGAACAAGGAGAAAACGAGTGTTTGTGTGGGTCACGTAGATTGGAAGCATGAATAGGAGCCTTTGCTCCATTTCACCAGGCCCAGGCCAGGCACACCCACGGGGAGCCAGGGTTTGCTCTGCCTCCAGCCGGCTCCCAGCTTGGGGAGGAGCCGCCGCCAGGTGGCATCGCTGAGCCTCCCTGCGCCCTGGAGGAGACCTGGGAAAACGTGGGGGATCCACAGACTTCTTTCTTTTCCCCCTTCCTCCGCTCCCGAACTCTTATCATCCTCCACTACTCTGTCTCCTTTAGCGGTTTAAACAATCAGCGGTTAATAGGGTGTGACGGTGAAGTTTAAGGATTTTTTTATTTTTTTTCATAAATCCAAGTTTAGAGCAACCGATCGCCGCCTCCTGCTCACTTGTCAGGAGCTCCCCGATTTGGGGGAAGCCTGGTCGGCTACCGTTTGGATCTAGCGACGGAACCCGGGAGATGATCAGTTTACCGCGTGCGTATCTGGCTGAAGCGGGAGCGAGCCAGAACGCGGTTTCTCCGCCAGCAGCCTTCCGCTTCCGAGAGCCGAGTAGAGAAGCGGCGCGCCTGCCTCGGGGACTGGCGAAGGCCACTCCTCCTGCCAACATGGTTCCCTGGCCGGACGCCGGCCTCCCCGGCGCGCAGTGGCGCGGGCCCGCTCCGCCCGCCCCGAGCTCCGAGCGGCTCCGGCAGGAGGAGCGGCGCTCCGCCTGGTCCCGCCTCGGCGGCCGCACCTCGCCTTTCCATTCCAGGTACCGGGACGGAAAAAAAATTGGAATCGACTCAGGCTGTCCTTTTTGGAGGAGAGCCTTTCCTACTGTAAACGTGTTTCAGTCTATCCTGTCAGCAGCACTTGAACACCCGCCTTGCGTTTAGGCTTTACGACCGTGGAAGAAGCTGAAGACACCCCCGCGTCGTCACGAGCCCTTAGCCCCCCTTTGAGCTGCAACCGGCCGCGGCTGCCTGGGGGTCGTTCCCAGGGCGCCCGGCTCCGCCATCCCCCACCTCCCTCCCCAAGCCAGCGCAGCCCTGGGTTGGGGTGCCCAGTTCCGTCAGTGACCGGAACTGCCAGCCTCTCGGCCCCCTCCCCCTGGGCGCCCACAGTCTGCGTTCTGGTCGCCTCAATGCCCTCGGAGCGCGGTGCGTCCGGGCCC